GTTATTAGTCAGGCTTGTAGCAGGAAAGATTTATGGCAACCAGCCCATAAATTCTTTAGGGCTATAAAATCAGCATTGTTGCCTTAAATTTTAGATAATACCGCGTTTCCCTGAAAATATGACAAGGTCTTATTTTCTTTTTACCTACAAAATATGGCTTGGGCTTTATTATGGGGGGAGGGTTTATTGTTTTGGGGTTTCCGGGCGGCTGCTCTCTTGTGAGTGGGCTCCCAAAATGCCGGGCACAGCCTCATGGGCGAATGGCTGTGTTGCGCTGTCGCAGCAGCGCAACACAACAGCCATGAAGTGACCAGGCTGACGAGCAGCCACCTGGCAAACCCCCTTTGCAGCCGGGCACAACGCCATTCACTGACCTAGGGGTATCGCCAAGCCACGTGAGCGCCTGTTCGCTGGCTCCCGCGGCTTAGTGCCTTCCAAATGCCAGTGAATGGTGCTCTGCACAGCTGGAGAGAGGGGTTGCGCAAGCGGCTGTTCCGCTCTCGCTCACCCGCTTCCCAGCCTCAGGATGCATGGCCCAGCTCTCATTACGGAGCCAGGGCATCTCCGCTGACGACGACATCCTAGCCTGGCTTTTTCTGCGGCTTCCAAACCGAGTCTTTCGGCAGTGGCTGCTGTGGGCTCTATGGTTGTGGGCCAGCTGCCTGCAGAGCGTACAACCATAGAGTGTGCGCCCAGCTCAGCCACTGCCGAAAGATTCGGTTTGGAAGCCACGGAAAAAGCCAGGCTGGGATGGCGGCGGTGGAGTTGCCCTGGCTCCGTAATGATAGCTGGGCCATGCATCCTGAGGCTGGGAGGCGGGTGAGCGAGAGCGGAACAGCTGCTTGCACAACCCCCCTCTCCAGCGTGCAGAGTACCATTCACTGGCATTTGGAAGGTGCCAAGCTGCAGGAGTCAGGCAGCGGCAAACTGGCGCTCACACGGCTTGGCGATACCCCTAGGTCAGTGAATGGCACTGTGCCCGGCTGCAAAGGGGGTTTGCCGGATGGCTGCTTGTGAGTGTGGTCGCTTCATGGCTGTTGTGTTGCACTGCTGCGACAGCGCAACCCAGCCATTCACCCATGAGGCTGTGCCTGTCTTTTTGGAGCCCGCTCGCAAGAGACCAGCCGCCCAGCAACCCTCCTCTTCAGCTGGGCACAGCACTGCTCACCAACCTAGCAGTATCCCGAATGCGCCAAGCAATGCAATCACCTTTCCTCCCCCCAAGTTCCCGCAGGATACAGCTAGGTTGGTGAGCGGCACTTTGCTTGGCCAGAGGTGGGGGGTTGTCCAGGGGGCTTATATGCGGTTGGGGGGGGGCTTATATTTTTGCCCACCAGAAAAATATGGCATGGCTGTATTATGAGGACATGTCGTATTTTCGGGGAAACACAGTAGACAGGCAATTTGTTCAGAGTTTTTGTGCATTCTTCACTAATCTGACTACAGCACTTTTCTCCAGTTATATTTTTGGACACTTTTCAAGGATACATCAAGACAGCAGTTCACTAAAGTGTGACTAACCTCCATTAAAGCTGCCTGACTCAAAGGCTTATAGCTGGCACATTAGCCATGTGCAATTGTATCACACACTATATTACCTGTAAATTTAGTGACAGCAGGGGATCAAGCAGCACTCCCTGGACTGGAGTGGACAGGAACTCTACTTGTGCAAAGAGTGCAGTTGCCTGGCCTCCTGTGGATACTTTCAGGGTGGGGAAGTGGGCCTGGTTTACCATCCTTAACTGCCATAGAGTAGGCTCAAATTCTCTCATAGTAAATTACAGTGCTCAAGAGTTTACATGATTCCTCAGTTGACTAAATTAAAATAGCTCCTGTGGATCCCTAAAGTTCTCACAATCAGAGCTGATCAGTGTTGATTAGTCCAATCTTACCAGAAGTGGAGATTGAAGTCCTCCAGATAATTACTCAACTTCAAACCATAAGCAACTCTTGTTAAAATGGCAAATGATACTTGTTCTGGAAAATGTTATTTGGTAACATTTAGAAAATCAAAACTACTTTGAGGATATTATGATTTTTTCCCAAGCTGTCATTGAGCTATGCTACCTGATGTGAACTCTCTTCAATGTTTTATTTTTTTTCTTAGCACTTATATTTCACTGTGGCATGTAGTAGGATAACTGATTGAGGGGTGTACATTAGAGGACCCATTAGTCTTGAGTTGTGTGTGTGTGTGTGTGTGTGTGTGTGTGTGTGTGTGTATGTATGTATAGATGCCAAGTAGCTCTAGGCAACTGACAAGTATTACAGACACAGCAAAACCTATAACATATAACCCCAAGTGTCCAAAGATTACTTTTCACCAGGAAAAAAAAACCATATTGACAGTAGTAGAGCCATCTAACCACCTGACCCAAATAGCCAGGTTTCAAATTCAGGGTTGGGGCCGAATGCATCTGTGAAGGATGCTATTCATTTTGACATGTGCACCATTTAGAAGACATGACTCTAGGATTCAACAAGATGACACTTTATTAGAAAGGACCTGGATCTCTCTAGATCTGGTGGGATAAGGGAAACAATAGGAAAAAGGTGGCCCCCACAATTAGCCTGGTCCTCTCCAATGTATGGTTTTGTAGATGATAACCAGTAGCTTTAATCACACCTAAAACCTTACTGGGACCAGTGCAGCTTGCAGAGCAGCATTGTTTTGTGAGCATAAGAAGAAATAGCAATAGCAATAGCAATTAGACTTACATACCGCTTCATAGGGCTTTCAGTCCTCTCTAAGCGGTTTACAGAGTCAGCATATTGCCCCCACAGTCTGGGTCCTCATTTTACCCACCTCGGAAGGATGGAAGGCTGAGTCAACCCTGAGCCGGTGAGATTTGAACCGCTGAACTGCAGTTAGCAGTCAGCTGAAATGGCTGCAGTACAGCACTCTAACCACTGCGCCACCCTGGCTCACAACTATCTGCTGACAACTATCTGCACAATGCATTTTGCATCAGCTGCAGCTTCTGATTGCTGTTCAAGAACAACTCCATGTAGACCACATATTACAATAATTCAGATGAGTCACCATGTGTAACACTGTTCTGAGAATGGGAACAATTGATACGTAAGACAAATCCGTACAAAAACCCCTTCAAACAGGAGCCACGTGTCCAGGAGGACCCACAAATTGTGCACCAACTCTTAGTGCACCTCCATGCAGAATTAAAGATGGAAAATTCCCAGCACTAGATGGCCTTAAAGTCCATGCCATTTCAGTTTTGAATAGGCTTTGATCTGAAGCCTATTCTCTCCTATCCAGACCCTCATAGTCTCCAGTCAGTGGGAAAGAACCTTGGCAGCACTGCCTGGTCAGCCCAGGGATAAAGATGTACAACTGAATATTATTAGCATATGAAGGATATTGCACCCCAGGCCAACAGATGACCTTGCCCGGTGACTTCATGCAGATGTTAAGAGCAGGGAAAGAAGAAAGCTCTGAGGCACTCTGCAAAGCAGAGAATCATGAGCTAGATCCCATTAATACTGGCTGGAACTAGCCCTGGAGAAAAAGGAAAAAAAGAATTTAGATTAGATTGGATCCTCCATGTAGCATCAATACTGGACGAATGAAAATATTAACATACAAAAGATCAATTCCCTTTCATCTGCCTCTGAAGCAGAAATAAATTGTTGGAGTTTGTGTCTCAAGTCAGCTTGATTAGGGCTAAGCGAGTCTACATTTCCTAAAACCTTCTGTACTTGCTATATTAACCACAGGGAATATAAATGAATTATTAGTTTCCTGATGAATATTTGACAGTGTTTGTTGTGCCTAGGAGTAGTTAAGTGCTATAAGTTTCCATATTTTGAAAATTATTTGAAGTATTACTTTCTTTTACATTAGCCACACACTGTCACCTCAGGAAAGACTGCGGAACATTTTAAGTAGCACTTAGCAGTATTGTCACCACCAGCTGTGAATTGATTCTGCTATGCTCCATATTGACTGTGGAAGAGGAGTAGGGAATTGATTTTTTTTAGAAGTGATGAGTCATGGGGTTGATGGGAAGAAAAGAGTATGGAATACAGAATGCCAGGAGAGAAGGCAAAAACACCAGAAAATTGGGGTAAATTGCGGTTCGAAATGGAAACAAGACTCTGAAATTACTCATAAATTTCTTTTGGTCTAGACTAATCTCAGTGTACTCATCCTCAGGGCACAATTAAACAGTTCCTGCTATAGTCACCATCTGTAATGTACTTTTTATGACCCTGAACAAGAAAAAAATCAGAATGGGTTCTAGCATGAACTTGGTTACATCTTATTAATTTGGTCTTTTATCAGTTATAATCTTGGTACTCTAATTTCGTATTAAAGATCAGCATCTTCTTTTGCAGTTTGTAAGTCCCACTAAAAATGTCATTTAATTCTGAAGCCGAGGCCTAATCCTACTGGCCCACCCATCCCAGATATTAGGAATTTAGTCAGCTAATAGCAAAGGGAAAACTTTTATGAATATGAAAACTATGAAATGTCTACCCATTTTTTCTTAATATGAAGAAATGCTGCTTTAAGAAATATTTTCAAAAATCATTTTAACTGGTGCATTATACCTCTTGCTGTGATATTTATTTGTATATTATTTGAATAATGTTTATGCCAGAAAGGTAAAATAAAATGTTGATAATCATATAAATAATTATATGATAAAAGTCTTACAGATTCAGATCATTAATAATTAAATGCAAGAGTTATTTGAGAGTGGTAGAATGAAAAAATATGGACATAACCTTTAAAAAGAAATGAGGGAAGGATTGTGTAAATACCAGCTTATCCCTGAAAAACTGGAGAGGGAGAAAAAGAAGTTAAGGATTACTCCACCTGGATTCTCTTTGGGGGTAAGAAGGGTTGTTATTATAACCTGCAAAATAATAGAATTCCATTAGTTCTTCTGGTATCCATTTCCTGCCCTGGCTATTTCAAATGGCTGATCCATATCGTCAGTACAGCTTTATATATAGTCCTCATTCAACAACTCTAATTACAACTAGAAAATCCATCATTAAAGACGTGGTCGTAAGGAAAGCATGACCACGCCACTTAGCAATGGAAGTTCTGGCAGTCCCAGTTGCTGTTGTTAAAGAAGGACTGTGAGTCATGAAAAGAGATCCTTGTGTGACTGCAACTTCCCTCTGGCTTCCCCATTGATTTTACTTGTGGGAAACCAGCAATAAAGTTTGCAAATTGCAATCACAGGACCACAGGACATTGTGACAGTCGAATGAAGTCCAGTCATAACGGCTACTCATTTAGTACTGTAAATTCAAATGGTCACTGAAGAAGTGCTTGTTTAACCAGGGCCGCCTGTACTTTGCTGCAGACCTAAGTGTTTTCTATCTTTTATATTCTTTCACGTGATGATGAGATGGACCCCATGTGAGAAAGAAAATTTAAAACAAATGTCTTAAAAATAAGTCTTTTGAGTTACAATGGCAATTGTAACTAAGCAATGTCATGGGACGCGGTGCTCAACGGCTAAGATGCTGAGCTTGTCAATCAGAAAGGTCGGCGGTTCAAATCCCAAATGCCGCGTAAGGGAGTGAGCTCCCGTTACTTGTCACAGCTTCTGCCAACCTAGCAGTTCGAAAGCATGTAAAAATGCAAGTAGAAAAATAGGAGCCACCTTTGGTGGGAAGGTAACAGCGTTCGGTTCGCCTTCGGCATTTAGTCATGCCTGCCACATGACCACGGAGACGTCTTCAGACAGCACTGGCTCTTCGACTTTGAAACGGAAATGAGCACTGCCCCCTAGAGTCAATAACAACTAGCACATATGTTCAAGGGGAACCTTTACCTTTACCTAATTTCATGGCATTTCTTGAAGCCATCATTAATGAAATCCCACCAGTCATTAGATGAAGACCCACCGTGATCTAAACCATTCCCAGTTTAGTCCCTCCCAGCCCCAAGCTTCATTTCTTTGAAGGTAAAGGACCACCTCCCCTTCAACTCCCCCCAACTGCCTATTGCTCTCATCTCTGCCCTTTTGGCTGACTTTCAGAGACAACAAGTAGCTCCAAAATCATGCAGCTCTGAGGCTACTTGCTGCACTGTTTCTCTAAGCCCCCAAACCACAGCAAAGTAGAGAAGCCCCAAGAAGCCTCAACCCAGTCCAGAAGCATTGTGTCAAGCCACAGGCTCCCTGGGAAAGCCCCAGTAGTGTGGCTCAAAGCCCTAACCAACCTGGGAAGCCCTATCAGATACAGCCTAGCCCAGCAGTGTGGCACACAGGCCCTTGCACTCTAAGACCCCAGCCTTCACTTCACTGCTTCAGTTGACCTTTGTTGTTTTCTTACTCCTGTTGCTGATGAGGTAGGTTGAGCCTGACCCTCCATGAGAAAGCTGTTTGGCCACATTTCTTCACCAAGCCATGCAAGAAAGCTGCAGTTTACGACCTTGTGAAGAAAGCCTTGCTCAGCTAGCAGTTGCCTTGCAAAGGGCCAGGGTGGACATTCATGATCAACAGCAGGAGCAAGAAGGCAAAGGTCAACCAGGGTTTGCAGAGCAGGTGCTGGGTGCAGCAAAAAGGCAAAGATGGGAGGGATATGGATTGGTGGAGTAAGCTGAAGCACCCATGTGGTCATAAGTATGGATGGGCTGCCAAACACCAAATTTGGACCACGTGACCATAGAGCATTCCAGTGGCCGTATTTGCAGGTAACAGGAATATGTACCATTAGCAGACACCATCATAACTTTTCATGTTCATTGAATGAATGATGTTCAGTGGCACAAAATGGATGTCATTTATGACATGTCATAGTTCTGACCATCACAGCATCCCTGTAGTCGTGTGTTTGTGATTTGTGACTTTCTCTGCCAGCTTGTCATAAACGTAGTCAGCAGGGAAGCTGGCAGAAAATCTGAAGTTGCAGATATTAAGAGCCTTGTGGAACAACCCATGCAGTCCTTGTTTAGCAATGGCAATTGAGATTACCAGAATTGCCATCATATCCCAAAGATTTACCTGTCGTCCTACGGCTATATGAAGTTTTACACCTTGGAGGGCATTTCGTGATGAAAATTACTATTTGACATTCTTGTGGAAAGGAAAAAGATTATATAAATTGATGAAATTGTTTCGTAATAGATCATGATGATGACAATTCTCAGACTGAAAAAATTACTTGGCTAAACAGCAAAACATTTCTAACCAAAAAGAAAAAGTTCAATTGCCATGACTCAACCTCCAAGCAACAGGTCCTTATGTTTTTATGTTATGTTTTGTAACAGTGACAGCCCACCAACTCTGGAAAGGAGTTGCAGCTGAGAATACTGCAGGTGGAAGGAAAGGGAGAGGCAAGCGAGGCAAGCGGAAAAGAACAAGGGATCTCAATAGAGGCCAGGTCCTTGGCGAAGGTAAACTTATGACACAGTGAAGAATCCTGAAGGGACTAATTACTCAAATCAGTCCAACTAACACTGAATTTGGATGCTGATATGATACAGAATGAGTTAAATCGGGACCCTAAGAAATTTGAAGGAATAGGGGTTTAAAAAAATTGCCATTACATTTCCCTTTAGTGTAATCTTAATGTACACATTACTCCTAAAAATCCAAATATCAAAATTAACACAAATGAACATTGAAAACAATACAAAACTTTCAGGAAGGTGGGTTTTTTATAATAATATAAAGGAGGTAGCAATATAAGGGATTATAGTATAGCTATTAGAGTATAGCAGTACATACAACGTAAAAATGTAAGGGTGCCAGTGATTAAAAGCACAAGGCTAAAAATCAGAAAACTGAGTTACTAATCCCACCTCAGGCATGAAAACCAACTGAGTGACTTTCGGTCAATCAGTCTTTCCGAGCCCAACTGACAAAGTTGTTGTTTAGGGGGGAAATAGAAGAAGGAAGCATTAGGTATGTTTACTGCCTTGAGTTATTTAGAAAGATAATTCCAGCTCTTGCCAAATATTAATTAATTGGAAAACGAGATCCCCCAAATAGTAAACTGACAGTTTGGGAGGTAAAGATAGCTTACACAGGGGAAATAGCTATCTTTTTGGAGTAGTAAGCTATGTTTGGGAAACAATAATGGTATGGGAAGTTATCACTGTTATCTTCTCCAGATGCCCATGCATCTGCTGCTTGAGGTAAATTGCGATCTCACTCCACCTAATACTGTAATAGAGTCAACCATGTATGGAAGGAATTACTGCTGAATCCCAGCAGAAAGACTTCGCTTATTAGATGAGGATGTACTACAATTTCTTATTGCAGGATCCACATAATAATAGTATATTTATAATGATTTCCTTGGGATGATGAAAATAGCCAGAGAGTGAGAATCAGATTTTATTTCAGGAAACATGTTTTCTACTTGAAAAGAATTGATTCCAAGTTGGAAGAGAGGGAGATACTGTATGTAAAAATATGGACTCACCTTCAATCATAAGTTCTAGATAGTTGGATTCTCTCTCTATCTTATTCAAAACAGTTAAACTTTTGGAAGTTCTGGTTAGGCAAAATTGGCCGCCACATTTTACAGTTTTACTCTACCTTAAGATGCCATGAAAAGCAGTACATATAAAAGTGCAAAAAATCATTTTATGATTTTTGGTATTTGCTGTGGAAGTGTGGATTGGTAGTATGCTAAATAATATCTATGACAGGGGTATTTGTTTAAGTTGTAATTGTTTTTGTGTTGATGTGTTCAGGAAAAATTGGTTACCTTTGGCCTGGCCTCAATGCTCCATTGATGGTATCTGGAAAAGTTCAAAGCATTTCCCAGAGAGATGAAGAAGAGCAGAAGGCTTTGCAGTTAGCAAAAGCTGAGGAACAAAAGCAACTAGACAAAAGAAGGAGAATACGGATTAAGAAGGAGAGAGGTTGGACTGGACGATCCTGGGGAGGTGTCAGTTTAGGACCTCCTGATCCTGGTCCTAATGGAGGTGAGATAATTACGGAAAGAATGAACATTTTTTTCTCTAGAAACAAGATTTGTTTGTTGGTTTCACAATCTGTGTTTACTGCTAATACCAAGCAGTATACATAAATGGAAATCCATGTAGAAGAATAAATATCACACACACAAACAAACAAAAAACTCTAGTTTTGGGGGGAAATTGTTTCCTTGCTAATACTATCTTAAGAGGAAAGGATGGGAAGATACATGTAATATTCCATAGTATTATTTCAGGCTACATATTTAATATGTAGATTTTGATCATATCTAATAACTGAAAATATTTATTAAAACACATTGGAAAAGATTCAGAATATAGCTCAATTGGCATATTATTCCAGGTTGTTAATGGGAATTTAAAGTTGTGAACTGTCCAGAAATTCAAATTAGTGTCTTGTAACGTTAATTTCCCCAGTGACTGTAAGAAGAATTGAACACCCAAAGCGCAGAGAATTTCAGCAAAATTGGCTCAATATAATTTGCCTCTTGACTCCCTTGGAAAATGAATTTACTGGAGAAACTAGAATATAGTTAGAAATATTAATTGTTTTCTCATTCCTAGACATCCTGTTGTAGTGTTGGCACAGTAAAAGTGAGCATTTATAGCCTGGCTGTTTCTGTTTAGTTTAAATACAATCTGATCTCTGCATGATTGCTTATTTGAGTAATGCTTAGTCAGGTGAATAAGGCATTTCAGAATTAATTTAAGTAAAATGGTTGTCATCTGTTTGCTTTATAATTTGGTGCTGCCTAATTACATTTTGTCACTTTAAAAAAATAAAAAGGACAAAACAAAATGTAGTCTTACTCCTTGTTTTCAGACTTCCATTTGCATTTCACAAAGGGCTATTGTTCTTGAGGCAATTTCATCCCTTATGGAGTAGATGTTCCAGTTCATTAGTGTTCTATTATTTCTGCGTTGACTGGTTCATATTTGTCCTAAGTTAAAGAAACAGCGACATTCACGTGGAATAAGGCCATTGATGTACCACTATGGGCAGGTCACCAAATGACTCCTTGAAGGCCAATTCCAACATCTGTATAATTTAGTGCACTCCACATGACTTGATCCCATAGAGGTCTGATTGTGATGAGATGCACCATAATTGCTCTTGGAAAATAATATGAATATTGTATGTGCAATATAACACTGATTCATGTCTCCTTAACTGACAGAAACATTTGAAGATTTTGATAGCAGAGTACTTGAGGTAAGAGGGTTTTTTAAATTAAAAATGTAAGTTTAAGTATCTTTAAATATAAAAAGCAATGTTTAAAATCCAATGTCAATTTTATTCCTTTACTCTGTAGCAGGCCTGTTCAACTTGTAGAAGAGAAAGGACCCCATCAATAAATTAAAAATTATTGCAAGCCACAAAGAAACATCTGGTGCACCAATCAGCTGTTTAACAGCTAGCAAAATGACAGTGAAGCCTAGAGACATTGGAGGCGCTTGGCAGGGTGTCTTTTGGGGCAATGGCAGTGAATGTATTGACTTTTGAAAAACCACCAGCAGGTTGTAAAAGGTTGTTGATGAACCACATGTTGTGCTGGCCAGGTCTATAAAACAAGAATTTGTCAGACCAATGAATTCTGAAATAATGTATGTAAAGTAAAATGTGCTGGGTTTTTTAAAAAAAAAATATTGACCATTAAAGTCAATACCGTGTTTCCCCAAAAATAAGAGAGGGTCTTATTTTCTTTTGACCCTTATTGGCCTTATTTTTGAGGTGCAGGAGGCAGCGAACGTGGTCACCTCATAGCTGCTGCCGTGTTGCAATATTTTCAGTGGGGCTTATTTTGGGGAGAAAGCTTATTTTAGCACTTTATGCGCTCAAAAACCCGATTGGGCTTATTATCCGGGGAGGTCTTATTTTCAGGGAAACAGGGTAAAAATTAAGATCATAATTTGAAGACAGCATTTTTTAAATAGAGGATATTTCTAATCAATTTTGAAAAACTAATAAAGTTAACTGTTAGGTTAATCACATGAAAGTGAAATAGACATAGGAACAGACTGTTCTTCAATTAATCTGGATTTTATCCAAAGCAAAAGTATGCCAGAATAAAATTATATAAAGTGGGGTCAGGATCACTTTTTGTCTTTCTGCTCTTGAAAAACATTAGACTCTTTTATTTTCCTTAAGAGTGATTTTTTTTATTCTTTAGATGTAATAAATGTGATATGATACTGAGTGAATTTGGATTTGGGATTATGTTCTTGCAGTTCTGATTTCCTGTTCTTTTCTCTTCCTAAATATGTTGCATAGTTACTCTTCACTTTAACTCATACCCGTTTTGTAGCATTCACTCTCATCCTTCACATAATTCAGATTTCAATTAAACAGGAAGCAAATGCCCAGCAAAGCTACCTTGTAAATTTCTTACATATCCCAGCATTACAACAACCAGAATTTTGGAAATGACCACATCTTATCTTCTTCTCCAGCGGTCCCATTATTTTGTCTGATGTCAGAATCTTGATTGTTTATAACCTTATTATAAATCATTCATGGATTGTTGTTTACATGGCCTTTGCTGATACTTTATATATTCCTCAAGACAGGTCAATATACTTACTTGGGCTTACAAACCTTTTATCCACCTAATTTTGCAGCAGTTCACTATTTTTTAAATTAAAAATCAGCATAACAATTTGTGAACTGCACAGTGTACATTTCCCTCTCTAGCTACATTTTTATTAGAGAACTGCAATACAAAATTCAGAGAATTGTGAAGACTAAAGTAGAATTGCTTTTTAGTTCATGTATTATTCTGAGAAGTACAGATTAGATGCATACATAAATCTAACAAATTTCCTTTCATCTCTACCTATACCCATCCATATTGGATACTTTCTCCATGTAAAACTACAATAGTCAAAATTGTTTTTAGAATTTTGAGGCATTATACATTACACTGAGTAATTACCTATCTCTGTCCATCTATTGAAGTAACTAAAATAGAGATTTATGAGCCGTTTCATGTTGTGGCCAACCTAGGATCATTAGTAAGAGGGATATTGCAGTCAAACATACTGCAATATCCCTCTTAATATCTACAGAGTATCCAGACACTTCCACGTGTCCATAACAGTAAAATACTCTTGCTACCAGCAGCTCTTTTTAAAAATATATATAAAAAGAATAAGGCTTATGCTTCAGAATCTATAAAACACAATGCAACTTTCCTAAACCTTTCTGAAATATTTATTAGGATTTGTTCTCCACCATCCAGACCCAATCTTAATTGCATATATGTAATTAACCATGTATGATAGTTAGCAGACAACTGGATCTAAGGTTAAAACTTTTGTACTACCATTTCAGTTTAATTTCTTGTTACTTGGTAGAGTTATTTATTCTAGTAAATTAAATTATAATTCTGTGTGTTACGGTTTTTTTTAACTGAATTTTAAAACAATGCTAGGATGTTTTACCAGCTTTATAAATGTACTTGATATTCAAGAGAATTTAATACTCTAATTTAGGTCCTTCTTTCTGAAGAAACATAATTATTAGGACTAATAAAATTCAGGCTTCAAGAAGTGCACTGGAGTATGCAGGAGTATAAATATGTCAACTGTTTGCAATTCCTTAAAGCAGCCGTATCTTTTCCTACCTTCAATCTTGATCATGCTGAGGTAGCAGTTAATAGGCTGGTTATGATTTCTTTGCAATTGACACCCTTTTCTCTTCTTGACCATTTTCCTCATAAATATCAAGATGCTGCCTTGGGGCGATGAGAGAAGAAAAGAAATTCTTATCTCACTTTTTTTATTCCTCCTCCAATGCCACAAAGGAAATAAAATCATGGGCTTTAAAAAAAATGTGAAAGAGAAAGTAGACTAGAATAAAAGTGCTATAAAAAGGCAAGAGTCCTTGGTGGAACCAGCCAAAGACCATCATAGACTATTGATTTGCTTTTAATAATAGCCATGGGAAGGTGGGTGAGTAGAGTAGGCTCAGAAGCAGGAGCTGGAAAAAAACCTGTTCTTGTTTTTCCCATAGTTGGCTTTTAGTTTCATATTAGATAGATCTATCCTTTGTGAATGGATCCAATTTCCTTCTAGACCTAACCCAAATCAGTGGTCATCAACACATTCTGTGGTAATTAATGTAGCATTGGAGGAATGATTCTGTCCTAAATCTTCTTAGCTTTATTGGAGAACCTATTGAGAAGGGAGAAAAATATTCCTCTGCCCACTTCTTTCATTGTCTACCTGTGATTTTATACACTGTGGTCATGGCCCCTGATCCTTTTATACACTTTGATCATGGTCCCTGATCCTTTCTCCAAGTTTATATATTCCACTAAGGCAGATCAAGCAAAGTTTGTGGTCAGCTTTGCTTTCTTCCGATGGGAGTGAACAAGTTTGGAAGGGAAAAAGGCCAAACACATATATTTTAAGTAACTATGCCTTGCAAGAAATGACTGTCATGCCAATGCAGATGTGGTTTTTCATACAAATCCCCCACCCACTTCCATTGATATCAAGGGGGGTTTTTAAATTACATATCTGACTTGGTGGTCCTCTGAGGGAAAAAATGCTCATGCAAGTCTTTTTAAAATTATTTTCACTGTCCCTTGTTCAATCTTGGCTCGTAGTTATCGTCAATTGCGTTCCATTGGCAGTGTGCCCAGCATTGCAGTTACTGCTTATTTTTATTCTGAAATGTTTGGGAGAAACAGAAGAAGACCCTGGGTTTAGATGCTACAGTAAATTTTTCCCCTCTTCTTTATTTTAATCAACATGTAAAGCAGAGTTGGGTTGCTAATTTTTTTACTACCGGTTCGAGCATGTTCGCACATAAGCGTGCAGGTGGGCGGAGCCTCCCACCTCTGCTACTACCACTTCAGCCGATCCAGGCCGAACCAGCAGCAACCCATCTCTTATGTAAAGGGTTGAAAAAATGAACAGGCTAAATATTAATTTGTAATTATCTGGAAGTTGTTTTATTTCTAATACACTATATCATGCTGGATGCCACAGACCCAGATACATTTGAAGGTTGCCTCAGTCCATACTGTTGCTGGCTTTCTCTACCTTTAAAGTAATGTAATATGCCAAACGGAGAAGAATCTATGTGTGGAATTTAGCCTTATGTGTAATGGGAGCATGGAGAGAAAAGGTATCAGTCTTAAATAGTTCTGTGTATAAACTCTTCTCTCAATCAGCAGATTTTCCTTTGACATCAGGTAGTTTTAACCCCAGAACTGTACCATTAAAATAGTTAAGTTGAAAGCTTTGCATATCTCAGATCTAAATCAAGTATTGAAAGTGCCTTTGGTCTGACCATCAGTAGTGTATAAAATCTTTTGTTGCGTTAGCAAAGTATATCTGTAAATCTGCTGCTCAGAAGGCAAAAAAAGATCAGAATCCACCAAATCCTTTGGAAGGTATAATAAAGTTGTTTTTTGAGGGTCTTCTAATATCATTTGACCTTGTACATATAAGTACATGTATACAAGTAAGAACTTAAGTAGTGTTCTGCTGCAGCAGATCCCTGGCCCATCCAGTAGCTTGTTCTCATAGTGGTCAGTCAACTGCACAAAGTAGTCTCCCAGCAGATGGTCTTCTGAAGCAATCACACTGCCCTCAAGGCTAATGGCCCTTAATTTATATTAATTGGTTAATCCTTTTTAAAGCCAGCAAGCACCACATCTCACAGTCAATTCCAAAATTTAATTTCACACTGTATGCAATAAAATCTCTTTGTCCTGATTCTTTCAGGATTCACTTTCATTGGGTGGTTTCTGGTTTGAATAGCTTCTCCTCTACTTTATCCACACTTTGCATAATTTTGTTCATCTCAGTCATGTCTTGATACCCTTCTTGGGAGCAAGTGCTCGGCTTCGGCATCTCCCTGGTTTTTTTCTGTGAAGATAGAACTAAAGAAATCATTCAGCGTCTTCATTTTTTTTCCTGTTAGGATTGCCACCAAAATAAAGGTGCCTTGTGGAGCATGAAAGAACAAAGGATCCCTCTTACACCAGAACTTTGGTCTAGTGTCTCTAGAAATGTGATTAATAGTAGCATTGGGACTTTTAAAAGAAAAAAAAACTCTGCTGCTTTTTTAATAGAAAAAGCCAAGGATTTAAACTTGAGATATCTGAACGCAAAGCATGTGCTCTGTCACTGAGATTTTTGAGCATATGTTCAAGTGGTGGCAGACACATGCTATATACAGCTTGAGGCAACTTGCTATTT